TTACAATCGGCTGAATTTCGACCGAACATCAAGAGACCGTGACAGGAGAGTGTTGTAGTTAGTTGTGGGTGACGTCAAGAGTTTGCGTTGAACGGGAAGGTTGTAGTTTGGCAATGGCAAAAAATGCTATAGTAAAGTAATCCGGTCTGGTTCTATCAAGAAATTGAAGCCAGAGCAATAGGAATGTTTAGCAAATGTAATCGATGGAAAAATTATGGCACATCTCCCCAAGGCTCCGTAAGCGGCAAAGGAAATGGCTAGGCTAAATGCTAACGACTCACTCGGGCGCACTACATACGTCACGGTAAACTCAGATCCAGTAGTTTCAATCTGCAAAAGGAGTTAACCCCTCCCACCTGTTCACGGAGCTCAATGGAACACCTCCAGACCTTAGTACGAAATGTAATTTGTACTACGGTGTGGTACGACCAGGCTGCCAATGTTCTAACATGGTTAAAATCTCCAAATGAAAACCACAAATAATCACCACTCATCCCGGAGTCCTTGACATATTCACCAGAAATAACACAGATCGAAAGCAACCTTGAACAAAAGCGTTAAAGGTATTGATTTTGAAGTCGCTGATCTAAAGTCAGTTTGGGGTCTGGTACTATAGGACACACTCTCCTGGCCATCTGCACTCTAAATATATATGGACATGCAGTGAAGCGCAGAGGGACGTTTTTGCTGTCAGAGGAGTTATCAACGCTCTGGTTGAGAGCCAAGTTCTATCTCCTTCTGTGGAATACGCCCACGTAAACATTAGAGTGCAAGAGCACACTTGCAGAGAGATACTTGGCTCCTTGAGGCTCAATGGGATGTGTTTAAACATCAGGGCAACACAATTTTTTGGATAGATGGTCCAGTTGGAGTACTCTGAAAACATACAATACCTTTTATTTAAACTGAATGTCTGTTACTTTTCAAATTGTGTCAAGAAAGTGAAACCTCATGAAGACAAGTTCACGCCCACAGCTTCCTGATTTTGTCGAAATTAATTCAGAGCCGTGAGGCCTCTTGTTATATTAGATAAACTATTCTCTTCCAGCAAATCTTACTGTTCAGTTATATCAAGGGGAGGGAATGTTTTTAAAAAAAATTGTCGTTCAAAAATACTGTCTGTAGATTTTTTTTTTCTGTAGATAATAGTGCAGTGTTCCATGGTAAGAAATATAAAGTATAAAATACACTTAAGTTGCTGAAATCACCTTTAATTAACACTATAATAAAGCGTAAAACCATCCATATAGGGTTGAATTGTACTCGAAGCTGCACATGTTTATTAAATGTACTATATTTATATAAAGTGGATTGGATTGGATTTACCAGTCTGAAAATTTATTTTTTGATACATGCAGGGTAATTTTTGAGTCAATTACTTAATACACCAACAGTGGGATATAGCAAGCCTCTACTTGTTATCATATTGATTATTATGGCTCACAGTTTGGAAAACTCCAACAAAGGCTCGAGATATGTCACTTGGCATATAAAAAGTCTATCATGTATTGTTTTCACATTTCAAGTTGAATAACAGAAATAAATCTACTTTTATACCATATTCTGATTTACACCTCTAATTCTCCTTCCAATCCTATGATAGTACTGCAGTAGTAAAGTAGTAGCATTAGCAGTTGGAGAAAAAGCATCGTTGTTTGAAAGTTATAAAACATTTAATACAGAGTACTACTTTGCTGCTGAACAAAACAAAGTCAAATAACATTTTCCATAGTTCTTCAAAAGGAAAAACTCCTTCTTTCCTCTTGAGTTGAACATCTGCTTCCCCTCAGAGTGATTTGAGCTGCTTCTTGACTTAAATACATATGATGTTTGCAATGAGAGCCATCTTTAAACGTGTGAGAGGGGATCAGAGGTGACTTAAACTGAAGTGATGTGAGCAGCACAACAACAGCAGAGTGAAGAGGAGAACAACACCACGCAGCCTCCTGTCACCACGGCAACATTTAACCTGGAGGTTTTGAAGGACGCGTCAGCATGAAGGTGGGGGGGGACAAAGACAATGTTTGTGGGGGTTCCATCTTCACACAGCTCTATTCTTGGACAAGCCTCAGCAGTAAAAGTATAATAGACCCAAGTTGTGGCCACATAAACGTGTCATATAAACTCCACTCATAACAGCAGTGATGGACGACAGGCCCGTGTCGTAAAGCCATAGTAATCAGGGAAGTAACTGCCCGGAGCTTTATTATATAAATATGGCATATAATGGTTTTGTGAGGTCACTTTAAATATGCTTAGTGTACTCTGTTTTTTTTAAATAAAATTAACCTAAAGTATATTTTTGATAAACTGCAGATGTTTTATTTAGGAAGGGGAAAACTATTCATATTATTTATTCATATTATTTATTCATAGCTACCAGTGCTTGCATTTCCTTTTTTTATTCATTTAAACAAAAAGTTAGGCCTGAGACAAAGGATTCTTATTTTAATATTATTATCCTTTTGATGAATCGACAAATTGTTCAAACTGTAAATATATTTTTGTGTTTATATCGGACCAAGGTCAAGCCAAAGTGCAGCCACAGGAGGACACACGGAATGATTTTTTTTCCAGAACAGACATTTTGTCATTAAGAATGAGAAATGTACATAATTTCAAGTAAATAAAATTGGGAACCTTTTTCTTTGTGTAAGTGTTAAAATCATGTCTTGCAGCTAAATACAATGAATGTGTTCAGTGTCCAATGTCATTGAATTCATCACTAAAGATACTAAACATCTGTGCAGTCAACTCAAGAATTTGTTATAATATGTGTGTTGGTTACACCCGAAACCTAGCCTGGCCTTAGCCATCCGTACACTCCGTTCAATCATCATTTCACTGCATGTAACGTCTGGGTCTGGTCCCTGGGTTAGCGATTACAATCGGTTGAATTTCGACCGACCATTCAGAGAGTGCGGAAGGCAGGTGTTGTAGTTAGTTGTGGGTGATGTCAAGAGTTTGCGTCGAACAGGCAGGTTGTAGTTTGGCAATGGCGAAAAATACGATAGTGAAGTAATCCGGTCTGGTTCTATCAAGAAATTGAAGCCGGAGCAAGGGTAATGTTTAGCAAATGTAATCGCTGGAAAAAATTGTGGCGCTACTCCCCACGGGCTCTGTTAGCAGCAAAGGAGATGGCTAGGCTAAATGCTAAAAACAGACTCGGGCGCACTACTCAGGTAAACTCAGGTCCAATCGTTTCAATCTGCAAAAGGAGTTAACCCTTCCCACCTGTAAACAGAGCTCAACGGAGCACCTCCAGACCTTAGTATGAAATGTCATTTGTACTATGGTGTGGTACGACCAGGCTAACCCAAAACCTGGTGAATTGACTTAAATTTGATGAGTCCTGGGATGAGAATCAGCACCTCGAAATCTGAGGCCATGGTGCTCGACCGGAAATAGGTGCCTTGCCCTCTCCAGGTGGATATGTCCTTCCTCAAGTAGAGGAGTTCAAGTATCTCGGGGTCTCGTTCACGAGTGAGGGAAGGATGAAGCGTGAGATTGACAGGCGGATTGGTGCAGTGTGCGCAGTGATGCGGTCGCTGTATCGGACCGTTGTGGTGAAGAGGGAGCTGAGCCGAAAGGAAACGCTCTCGGTCATTTATCGTTCCCTCCCTCACCTATGGTCATGAGCTTTGGGTAATGACTGAAAGAACAAGATCGCAAATACAAGCGGTTGAAATGAGCTTCCTCCGCAGAGTGGCTGGGCGCTCCCTTAGAGATAGGGTGAGGAGCTCAGTCACACGGGAGGAACTCAGAGTAGAGCCGCTGCTTCTCTACAAACCTGTTGAGATGGCTCGGGCATCCGTCCCGGAATGTATAAACTTCCGCCCCAACGTTCCTCATCAATTCTAACTCTAAGCAGCTAAAGTTAGTCTTTTCAGAATGTATTTTAAAGTTTCATTGTACACAACAGCTACAACGTTCACTTGTTTAGAATGAAAAATAAAACATATTTATGTCTTGTGTCCACGAAGAAGTGGTTAGTCTGAACATAGTACAGTAGGTTTCCTCTGGGTAAACATGAACAATAGGTCCGTCGGCGCCTCCTGTAGGTGACCCTGTTTCTATTGTGGAGTGAGAGAACAAATGCACACAACAATTGTAAAGTGCCTTTCGACTGTGTCTATGAAAGGCGCTGTATATAAAGATTACTACTACTACCTATACTACTAAGGTTTGAATTGTATTAGAACATTATGAAGTATAGAGTTATTTAATACTTTTTGAAACCTCTTTCATAAAGGCTCCGTGGCCTGTTATAATAGACAATTAATCACAGAGCATATCTCCTTTGCTCTGCTTTCCTTTGTACTGACGAACAGAACTGGTGCATCCCCCATTGTATTTATATATATCCTGCAGGCTTTATTCCACGAGAAGACAGATAAAGCGTTCTGATTGGTTGATTTTCATGAAGGGATAAGTTGTGGGTCGTCTTGTGGGGGTGCTTTCAGAGTACTTGACATACTAAACATGCAGATAGCAGCTGTATCCCACCTGAAGCCATTTCTTGATGTTTTACCACGCAAGTCTATGTTTACAGTATTTTGTTGCTGTTGTTGTCATTTTTAAGCTAGGAAGCCTAACTTTTAACCACAAAACACTGGAATATATGTAATACAATCCATCTTACATGCATTTCTTGGCTTCTGGCACAGCTTTAGATCAGCTTACAGAAAAGTGCAAAAAACACTCTTGTTTAGCCAATCATTCCAAAACGTCAGTGACTCACAAGGCTCTTTCTTATAAGAACACAAGCATATTTTTTTTTCTTATCAGATCAAAGCAGCATTCTGTGGTTTGATTTGTTCATAAAATTATAAAACTTTTGGGGACTAACGAAATGCATTATTCATGGAGGGAAAAAAGTTACATACTCCAGCTTTAAATAATGATGTTTGCAGACTGTTATATGACCCAAAACTTAAAGCCGACCATTGTCACTATTTGGAAAGGTATTCTTACTTCCGGTTGTATTTGTTTCCTTGCAGGACTCCAGCGATGATCGGCTGCTCCTTCGTAGTAGACCGAGAATACTTTGGGCAGATCGGACTGTTGGACCCTGGCATGGAGGTCTACGGCGGGGAGAACATCGAGCTGGGGATGAGGGTAAGTGCGAATCACTAACTATTATAAAAGTGCCACTACGTGTTAGCAGCGTTGGATAAATATTTGGAAGCCAGTGGATGCTATAGGTAACATTTGCTCGGAGACTTGCTGCAAGGAAATGTGCTTTTTTTAATTAGTCTTTTCCTTTGGAGTCTTTCCTTCACCAGAAAGGCCACACAAAAGCCATAATTACAAGTCCAATATTTGAAGAAGTAATTTTTCGATGAGCTGCTTTGAGGAGAACCATGCGAGAAATCTTTATTCAGACTCAGGAACTGCTTATGATGAGGTCTGCTTCCGTTTCCAGCCCGAGGGGAACAGCTTAAGATACAAAACCCAGGGGCGTCAACACAAGACATGATTAAACTTTGCAAAGTTAGAATTTTCTTAGATGGGGAGGAGGCGGGAGAAATCCTTTTAATGCAAATCTTGAGCCAACCCAACGGCGCCAAAGTCTGTATACGACGAATGTAAATGCCTTTTGCGAGTGCTTTGAGTAAAATTTAACGCTCCATGAGAGCGCAGGGACTTGCTGAAGAATTGGTTTGAGTTGAAATTCAGAAAATGTTTCTCTCCAGCCGACTGGAACCATTCTGCAGGTCTAAACGCACTTCTCGACTTATTGGACTGATAAATGCTTGAAAGAGCATGCTTCATCATGTAATGTCGTCACATCCATCTCTGTGGCGCTCAAAGACTCAGTGGGACAGAAGAGTGAGCGCAGTGATATCAAAGTATTTAATTACTTTTTACCATCAAATAGATTTTTGAAATTGGTGCAGTTTTGGTAGTTTTATATCATTATACTGCAACTTCATGAAATCATTTTCTTCCTGTGTTGAACATTCTCATCAAATACTTTAAATACAAAAAGTCTATAATCACCATTGTAAGTAAGTAATTTGTATTTATGTCGCACCTTTCTGTTGAAAGGTCACAAACACCAGAGTCACAAACATAAATCGCTCAACAAATTGCTTTCTTGTTAATGCTGAGTTCAGCTTCAGTGTTACTGCACATGTTATTTGGCAAATCAATAGTTACTATAGATCATTTTCAACTTTATTTGTTTAAGTTGGTGCGGAGGGTGGGTTACAGAGATGGATTGTTCAATCAGTGCTTGTTATCCACACAACAAGCACTGATTTAGATACAATTATGTGTCCAACACGATTTCACTGTCAATAATTGTGCTCAGCACCAATGACGCGTCCCCATTTGCTGCACAAGAAACCCATCACATTTTTTAATAAACCTAGAATAATCTAGCAAACAAGTAACTTTCACTACATCCTTGTTATATTCATATATAATATCATATAATATCATACCTTTTCATTCAGAATGACCCTTTTATTCCATGTGTGTCTGATCTGAGATGAAAAACATGCAGGAGAGAAAGCCTGGAGCTACAGGATTTAGGTCGGCAGTCAACTTTCCATCCATATTTTACCAACAGTAAAATGGGCTTTTGAACGCAATTGCTCCTGAAAGTATCCAGCTTTAAGGACCAGGAGTGAAGTTATTTTTGTTGCAGAGAGAGGAGATGCCATTCAAGCCAAAGTTTGATTGACATGGACATGTTTAACAATTAGCCCGGGCTACCGCACAATGGCTGAGTGTGCCCAGAATGGAGAAGAGGCTGATGAAAGGCTGGGCCTGCTCTGAAAGGTTATGCGGGAGTTATAATTGACTGGGCCTGGAGAGGCTTTTGTTACAAACAAAAGGAGAAAGGTTTCCAGCTGGTTCATAAGCATAGGCTTTTTCTGTCCTAAATGGAAGGTTATGCATGGTGATATATTCAGAGTTGTGATGGAAATGTAATAATTTTGTATGTACAAACAAAAATGGAGGTTAGCACTGTTTGTTCTAATCAATCTCAATCAAATTAATGCACGTGAAATGTATGTTGCTTTTGGATTGGCAGCCAAACTAAACTGTTAACTAAAATAACAAGTAAAAGTGACTGGGTTCAAATTCAAACAACTTCATCTTTATTTGTTCATGTTGCACGATTAAATTTCAGGAAGAGGACAGGTGCCAATGCAACTGCTCTGGGAAAAGAACTATTTTTAATATCTAAAAATGTCCAAAGTTTTTCCCAGATCCTTCTTTGATAGTTTTTAGATTCACAAACCTGTCATATTGCACTTTTAGACTGGGCAACATCAATCATAAGTTTTTCTTTTAATTATTATTGCCACCTTTTTATGAGAAAATAATTACACCATATTTTTGATGTATTGACAAAGACGATGTCACAGCTTTTGTTTCATCTAGGTCCAGGAATTAGTTTCCATAGTTACCGCTAACAATTTGCAACTCTACCACAATCTAAATTAGAGATGCACCGATCCAGCTTTTTTACTACCGATACCGATACCAGAGCTATGGGTATCTGCCGATACCGATATTGACCGATACCGGAAATGATCATGCAAAAATGTATTTAATAATGGAACTCTTTGTTCAAGTAACTGCAAAAGCAGTGGAAGAACTAAAGCGCTAAACTTTCCAGATAAAAATGGATTCAACATAAATGTGCAATACTGCAACTATAAAGAGCTGCTCAATGTTCACATTAAACATTCCAACACTGTATTATACCTCATAAATTTATTGAATATAAATGTACTTATATTAACTGTGTTTGAATAAAAAAACACTTACAACAAACAAAACACGCTGCATGAAAATGTAAATAAATAATAGTACCGTAGCTTTAACTGGATTTCAGATATGTATTTGGCGACGGCATGTACCTGGGTTCCAAATGGTCTATGGGGCTGCGAGCCCAAACTGATGAACTCCAACACTTTGGGATTGTTGCTGAAAAGCTTTTTGTGACGCTGCGTCAGTGTCATCTGCGTCTCGTTGTTTTCACGTAATCTCCTTTCGATGCAAAAACTCCCCATGCTGTTTCTCGTGGTGCTTAGTCGTGTTGTATTTTGCTAGTTTACCGCCGCGTGAACAACGCTGATTCTTTCCTGTGTTCCATGCTGTGTTGTTGTTGTTGTAGAGCGCCACGAGGAAGTGACGTGTACGTCAGATCTGATAAGTTACTTTTAATTCATTCATTTTATACGTATATGTACATTATGCACAATGTATTTTAAGACATTGTGCGGTACCTGGTATGTATTAAAAAATATATATATATATATTTTTTTTTTAAAGAAAAGAAAATTGATCGGCAGCACAGCGCCTCTCTCTACGCAGATATCCAATCCAGTATTTTTTCTGGTATCGGCGCCGATATCGATACCAGTATCGGATCGGTGCATCCCTAATCTATATGATCTGCTGTTTGGAATGTCGTGATGTCACATGAACCAAATATCAAATAAAGTACAAGCCTTTTATTATTACTCGTCTACAGTCTACCTAAATCATCTATTCACATTTTGTTTAGGCTTTCCATAGGCCGTTCATCTTGTTTTTGAAATTCATGGCCTGAAAGACATTGAATGAAGTTGTAAAAGGAAATGAGAGAGAAATGTATATTCCCAGGGCGGCTGCTTCACTTTATGCATTTTGATCCTGCCGCTCTATAAATCAAAGTAAAGTATCTGAAGACACAGAGCTCAGCCGCAGCAGACGTCCGTAAACGGTCAAAAGGATCAATGCAATACCAGCAGTGTCAATATGAATTTATCTCCTAATGGCCACCAGCACATCGCCCTTCATTCCAAGCTCCTCTGGGCTCTATACAAATATACATTTACTGGTTTATATATATATTTATACCTTGTCATTCAATAAAACACTCCATCAAATCTGGCAGAGGTCACCCCGGCCATTCCCCACTATTTCATCCCCGGCTCTGTTTGTGGTTCCTATTTATTTTGTAATTGCCTAAAACCTCAGGGAAATGTCAGGAAAAATGACAATCAGCAATGTATTCAATATTTTGTGTGGAAATATGAGGGCTGCGACGTGCATTATTGGGAATGGTTTAATGAAAAGAAAAGCCATGTATATTTGACGACAAGCATAAATGAAATAGATAGAAAAAACTATCAATAGAATCTATTTATAAGCAAGATTCAATACAATGTAGCCATCCTCAGAGAAATGGGATGTTATGGACTTTAGGGTAAAAATTTAAAATTTGATCACGTTTCCGTACATAAAATATACATAGAGCCATTCATTTCATTGAGGCCACTAATATTATTGAATGTACATGTCTATTCCACTTTCTGGTTTGCATTCATATTAGATGTTTCTGTAGAACATCTGGTAATTTATGAGAATACATGTTTTTGTTCTGTTTTTATTGACAAAGAATTATACCAAACAAGTGAAATATGCATAGTACATTCAAGTAAATACACTACACAAAATATCCCCTGGAGGAATGCTGACTTTTTTTTAAATGCTAATGAAGCATTTAGCATTTTACTTTGGACTAGAGCAGAGAAAATGGTCCGTACCAAGCAGCAACTCCACCTCTGCTGCTGCGACCTGAAGAGCTTTTGCTGATAATTACTGTTGTAAGCTTTTTAGAATCATCATCATTTTATTTTTAATGCTATCGGACACCTGAATTTCTCCTACGTGGATCAATAAAGTATCTATCTACACACTGTGCATTTATATTAAAAATAATTTATAGACATCATTAAATATATATTAGTCTTCATGCAGCTTAGCTTCACTTGAAAACACATTGAAAAGTAGTTCTGAGGCAGGTTTCATTATTCAATTTTCTTTTTTTTAGGGTTGGGCGATATCAATCAATCAATCAATCAAATTTTATTTATAAAGCGCTTTTCATACAAAAAGTGTAACACAAAGTGCTTTACAGTTTAGTTAAAAACAATCCAACATGCCCAGCCCTAAACCCTCCTCCCCACAGACCCCCCAAAACCACATTTATAATTATATATACAACCACATGCGTATACACACACACACACATATACACACACACATACACAAGTATAAAGTCATAATATGGGCCTCAGCATGTATCACGATTTTTGTTGGTATGTATC